AATATTAAATATATTTATTTAATTGCAAATTAATATGTAAAATTTTGTATAATTACATTTTAATTCAAATATATCAAGTTCATATATTATGCTTAATAAGACAACCAATATAATAAAATGAAAATGGATGCATAAATGTGTAGTTATGCAAAAGGAAAAGAAGAAGACCCCAAAGAATATATGGAAATAATGGTATATAAAAGATTAATAAGTGAAGAAATAATATACCATTTAGTTGAGAAAAAAGGAAAAACATTATTCTGGCTCGATATTGATAAGAAAAGACAAAAAAATATAAGCATACTTCAGGAAAATGATATGCTTTAATAAAGAATGAATAAGAGCAAATTAATAGATATTGGTAGAGATAAGGCTTTTCATTCTTTACAACTAGACAATATAAAATTTCAAATTATTATTTTTTATTTTTTTAAGCATGAATATTTTTTTTGAATTGAATTTTTTTTCATCTAATATAATTTAACAAACACAAGTTAGTCTAACTACTATATATATTCTATATACCTTATTATGTTTGCTATTGCAACTAAATTGATTACAGAACACAAGTTTACCAAAAAAATAAGTATCAAAAAGCTTAGCTAATATGCATCAGAAATACTTGAACTCTTAACAAGTAGTGTATTACAAGTAGATAGAAAAAAAAGATGCTAGGCTTATAATCATCTTTAAAAAGTATATAGTTTTAGCAAAGAGCAGGCATTTGCATTAATTTCTGACTAGAGAATTGGGCATTGCATAAGTCAAATAACTCTCAAGAAAGGAGACTTAAAAGCAGAAGTTAATATATATCAAGTATTTAATAGTATTAGTTTCAAGAAGACTATTAAAGAGATGACTCAGCATATTGTTCAAATAATCTTAGTAAAAGAGATATAAAAGTAATATCTAAAATCTAGTCAAAACAGACCCTAACATTGTCACTAGTTTATTCAATCTTTTTAGGCTTCAAAATGAATTAGAAGGCCTCAATGTTTTAGAAAAAATAATTTCTGCTATATCAAATCTGGATATAACCAAATTATCTAATAAAATTCAAAAAGAGTATAGAGAACAACATGAAAATAAAGAGCTTTATTATTCAGATCATTTCTTATTAGAATCAGTTAAAGAAAGGCTAGATTTGTATAATATATCTAATAGATCTGATAAACAGGCCCTAGCTAATATAATAATTATGCTCTGTATTCATCTTGCTAAAATTAAAAACTTGTATATATCTAATGATGGTATAACTGAATATGCAAAAAATCAGGATCAACAAGATATCTCTCAAGTATTTAGATCACTTGAAAAGAATAAGAAGTGAGCAAGAAAATTGCTTATATAGATTTAGGAAGCAATTATTTCTGGGGAGTTAAAGAATCCAGTAAAACATGAATCTATATACTTAAGTTTATTTTTGAGACAAAATAAATTTATTCCTAAACCTTATAAGCTACTACTTCCTAGCTCTTTGCAAAATTAGAATCAGTATTTGCAGTTGTATTATATAGTGCAAAGAATTTATTAGAGACTATGACCATTACTGATCAAGTTTTTTGATATTTGCCAGACAACTATGCCTCTTTTACACAAAATTATACAATAGTCAATTTAAGAAAACAGGAAAAGCTATATGATCAGACAAAGGCATTTAAGCTTTTCAATGAAAACTAATACTTTCTTAAAATAAATTTTCTTAAAAGATAGGTTAAATATTGTTTATTAAATTTATTTTTTCATTTATCTAAAATATATCATATTATCAGTTTAGGTCGCAAATAAACTAGTCTAAGCTCTCATTCTTGCATGTAATTTTTATTTTGTTACAAACAACCTTAGTTTATTTTAGTACTTCTGTACTAAAATATATAGTTAAAATTATTAATAAAAATATGAGCAAGACCTTACCTTAATACCAAAAAAAAAAAAATATCATACTATAAAATATCATAAAAATGATAACTGATCAAAAGCATTCATTAAATAGTATACTTAATGAGTTAGAAGATACCAGATATATAGAAAAAATTGCTAAGTTATTTGGATTAGACAAGCAGAATATAGAAGTATATAAAGCACTTTTTGGACAGATTTAGAAGCTTGAAAAAAAATTGGAAGATTATTATTTCAAATATGAAAAGCTTAAAAAAAAGGTCAATTTATTAAAAGCTAAAACAGAAGATTTGGATAAATGTATAGATAAAGAAACTTTAGTTAACTTAATACAAGAAATGGTTCTATCACTAATTATTAAATAAAGGTTTACTTTGTGAGCTCCTAAATAGATCTGATTCTAGTTTATCTGACTTTAGTTCATCTAAAGATTCTGAAATAGTTAAATGCTATTATTCTAAAAAAAAGGTACCACAGAGGAATTAGGTAAATACAAATTCTAAATCTGCAAAGTTTAAAAAAATATATAATAAGTTAATATCTTTATTAATAAACAAATAGATAGTTTCTTGAAGGACTATATAAATAAACCATTGTCACATCATTCTATAAAGAAATTTAGAAGAAGGAAGTCTGAAAGACTAGGCATAATTGTTAAAATCTTACTTAATTAATGCTAATCCAAAACAGAGATCATTAGCATTATGTTGTTCTAAAGAATTTTTTCTAATTTAAAAAAATATCTTCTGACTATATAAAAAATAAATAGAGTTAATTACTAAACCAACTTCTGCTAAAATTAATACTATTTATTATAAAAGATCTTTCAAACCAGGATCTAAAAAATTTCTTATAATGTAAATTATATATAAAAAAGAAAGGTGAATCTTGAACAATCTAAAAGAATAATTCTTATAGATATTTGATTTGGAGTTGACATAGATGCTAATGCAAATTATATTAGTAGAAAAAATATAAAAATAGTATATGCAAAAGATGATAATATTTCTAAAGTAAATGAGTTCCTAGATAAGTCTTATTCTGTATTAGAAAAGATCAATCTATATATTATTTTAAATGATAATGAGAAGCATAAAATCATACCTACTAAATTTATAGTTATTGAATTAGATTGGCCTAATCAATTTTCTGAAATACTTTTGAGCTTATTATAGATGTAAAAAAATAGTGTAAGCTTGAATATATGTAATTTGATGCTAATAATAGACAATAGTTTTGTGATCTCACTATTAAACTAGTTTGATGGATCAAATTCTTGAAGCCAGACTTTTGGAAAAAAATAACACTGCTAAAATTCTAAAAAAATAAAAGTCTTAGTTAATAAAATTCATGTGTTTGAAATATAAACATATCTAATATTCAAGATATTTTTGAGGAATGAGAAAAAAATAGTTATACCTGATACATATTATCTGAATATGACTTAAACTATATTAGTAATTTAAAAACACCAGAAGCTTGGCTATAATTTGTGAAGTATTATCTGTCTGAATATATACATAAACATTTATTTATATTAGGACATGAAATAAAAGATAAGAACTATTGGAGAAACTTTGTATTCTGTATTAAAAATAATTTAATCAGAAGAAAATATATAGCTAATAATTCTGAATTTAGAGAATTTAAAACCTAAGTAGCATATTTTAAAACTTTGTATATAAAAAATTGATCAGCTATTATCATCTAGTGAGCATATTATTTATAGAAAAAATGAATAAATTCAGCTATAATAATTCAGCATGCAGTGAGAAAATGACTTTATTGACCAGGTGGCACATTAATGAAATATGCCCAAAATCAGTATTATCAAAATATTAATAAACTTAAGAAATGCCAGTAGATTGAGTGATTTTGGATTTTCTGTCCAAATCAAATTATCATTGCTTTATTTCATTTAGTTAACATATTACTAATTTGTAAATTATTTATGATTACCAGTAGATTAATCAGTTCTTGGCTTATACTAAATAATTTATAAATAAATAGATTGCTAAATCCAAAATTAGTATCTAAAATTATTTTTTTTTAGTCATAAAGAATATATTATAAATAAGCTAAGTATAAAGAATTTTATTGTAAAACTTATAGGGTGTGGGTCTCATAGCTTAGCAGTTAAGCTCCCATACCCTCCACAGTCAAGGTCAACAGTTCAAGTTTGGCTGAAGGCAAAATTGAAAGATTTTAGCTTCTGTAACCTAATAAGGAGCCTGTAATTGAATACGAAGCTCTGTGGTTAAGTT